ATATATATATATATATATATATATATATATATATAATACGACCAGGTGCAGTCAGAAATTAAAGTGATCAGAAATACTGATATTAATAAATGCTAGTTTGGAAAATCCGATTTTCAATTATGTCTTCGTCATGATATGACCTTGGAGTGCAATAATGTTTTCAGCTATTTGGCAATAAATTAGGATGAAATAAAGACTGCGTCGCTAAACTTATTCTGATAATTCAATCAATATATTTTCATTCATAATACTAAAAATAATAAAATGTTATTGCTATACTTACGCGTTCAAAATGCGGCTCCTCTTCATTCCGTCGGAATTATAAATGGAAGACTTCTTGTAGAGAATTTGGCTCTTTGAGACATTATGGCAGAGTCCGGTCATGGGGTTCGTACTGTTATTGCTATAATCGTGCAGAGGCATGTTGTCCAACAAAACGGAATCAGGTTGCGAAGTGCAGGAACTGATGTCGTTCTCAAGCTGTTCTTGGTACGATGTGTTCTTGTCGTCTCCGTCACAGTACTGATGACACATGTCAAACTGCTGATTATTCACATTCTCGCAGGACGACAGGGATATGCTCCTGACGCAATAGTCATTTTCTTCCATATTATCGTATAGGTTCGACGAAATACATGTTTGCGGGGAACTGAAAAATAAATACAACCCATAAGATATTTTATAACAATAAAATCGATTAGAGCTATAAATGTCTAACATCGATTAGACAACTACAATTTGATTGTAGATCAATTAGTGATATTATACATGGTATCAAATTGACTGTAGTGAATGTATGGCCTGAATATATTACTGATTTAAATTTATATCTTATAAATTATGCTGTTATTTTTAGAATTGATATTAAATTATTAACGAAGATCTTTAGTTCTCGTAAAATATGTATGTTTGTATGAAGAGGTTCAAATTCATATTGACAGATAGATCTTCGAAAATGAAAATATTGATTTACTCAAATATTTGTTCACAATGTATAATGTTCTAGCAATTTGCTTTGAAGTTACCACTAGTTAGATTGAAACAAAAACTGCACTCATCATATAGTTATTATATTTAATATTATTAACGTTATATTAACAAATAATAAATATACATATCTTTGTCCTTTGTCTATTAATCACAAATAAATATGTTTTTATTCTTAATTTAACTATATATAACTAAAAATACAAGTATATTAATAGACATCTAAAATTAATAAAATTAGTTCGTTTTATTCATTATTTACTACAGTTACATTACACTAAAAAAATATCTTGTTAATTCAATATATTAGGAATTATTGAAAAAAAATATATAAATGACAATTTATTATACACAAAGCTCAATTCGTAGAACCGCAATTCGAATAATTATATGAGGTTATCCATTAATTGCACAGGTCAAGAGGATAAGAGGTCCAAAAAAAAAAACTTTGCAAACGTATCCGATTTATTATGCTTTCATGAAAATGATGCATATCACTGTGGTAACGATTTTCGTAAGATCTACACTAATTTAATCATAAATACATATTACACTAGATGTCCGAAGATCTAGATAATCTTCTAGATTTCCAAATACAACTTATAACATTTCACACTTCGATCGAATTTTCCGAACACTACATAAACAATTATATGTGCAAAAAAGATTTTTCTATTAACCTAATCCAGCTTAATAACTAAAAAATAAAATTAATAGGTTTAAAATTCAATCGCACATAGATAGAAACATAATAATATTTAATGAGATAATTTCTGTCATTTTGCAGCTTGCAAACAAGTATTAGTAAAATTAATAATTATACGAATATATCAAATGACCACGTTTTAGTAGAATTATGTGCTCCAGTTCTTGATATCTGCTTAGAAAATTCTTATAGCCCGTCCCACAAACTTATCTTACATTTTGTACGTTCTCCGGAACTTATTTTATATTACGGTTTAGTATTACTTTGTATTAAACGAGATAGTTAAAAATATAATGTTAATGTCTAAAGATGGCGTAGCCCTACAAACAATAAAAGCTAACAGCAATCATGATCAATAGGTTTAAAATTAATTTGCCTCGAAAACTATTTGGATATTAAGAATTTCTAGAATTAGTATTTAGTTACTTTATTTTAGAATTAGGTCTAGTATGATTCAGTGTCACCTGATTGTTTAAATATTTTACAGATAATCTGTATTATTTGATACACATAAAGAATGCTTTATTTTTTTAAACGGAAAACAAACAGATGAGAAACCAATACTTCTCGATTCTCTCGAAACATAAACATGTTTTGTACATCAGAGAATTATTTATCAATAATTACACAGCCAATATTCCCTCAAATTTCATAGATTGGAAAAATGGAAATGAAATTATAGTAAAGGTAGAATTGAATATAAAGGGGAACCCCCACCGAAATGCTAATAAACCAATAATGTCGTATCAATAGTAATCTTACACTGGTATTATTAAAAAAAATATTGCAATTTTCTAATAAATATTGTATAACTACTTTTGATAAAAAATTTAAAAATCTATTTAGTTCCGAAATGTTGACAAAATATATTTATTTTGTCAACATTTCAACATTCTGTTGTATCAATTAAAAATAAAGATTAATGAATTAATCTATAATTTTCTAAACGTTTTGACATAAACTTTTATGTCATTATTAATGAATATTAAACATTGATGTCTTGCATCAATAATGTGCACCAGGCATATGGCAGTAACATTTATCCACCAACTTGTCATTGACAAAAAATTGTTTTACGTAAATTAAAAAATACCGAAGAGCAGTGTAACGAAGTAAAATACAAAATATTTTGAAAGATAACTGTGTCTTCGAACAGGCTGTAATCATTACATATATCTCAACATCAAAATTAACACATATCTTTACATAGCAACTGTCATTAAATTTCAATCCTAATAACAACTGTCAATAAAAACAAATAAGGGAATGGAACAAATTTAAAACGTACTAAAATCTTATGGCAATAAAGTGGATACATGAAGTAGACAAGATTTTTTTAATAATAAAAAAGATACTGTACACGAATACTTCACGACCGAGGAATAATACGAAATACCACAAAAAAACGTAAAAACAAAATTCAATCCAAAACACGCCATTCCTGTCTACATTTTACCTTATTATAATTCTTTACAATTTACGAGCAAACCTTTGTGCCTTATTTTATACGCACGTATATGTGCTTACATATATACATAAAAATACATAAACGTAGACAATCTTTTGATATTTTTTTCGTGAAATCAGAATGCATCGCAAGATGCAGGCTGTTTTCCTCGGCAGATGTTGCGATGCTAAATATCTTTCGGGAGTTGCACCTGGCGTTCGAGAGTTCGAGGCTAGGAAGGTCGGGGCTCGGATTCGGCGTTCGAGCGTGGCGCAGGTACAACCATGACAGAGTACAGAGGACAGAGCAAAGGGTGCGTACTCATGGATAATTTTGACATTGAGGTAATTAGAACTGTATCAGCGATATAAATCATATAGAGACTTCAAATCATTACGAGTGGAGAAAAAGCTCCTTTTGTTATTAAAATAAACCATGATAGTACAATCTTTAGAATCACATTACGTTTAAATGCATATGTAAAAACATTGCCTTATGACAAACTGTCATATACATATGTTACATCGTTGACCAAGTAGTAATTTTATAGATCTGTCATCCCTGTGAATAAGTATATATATGTATGTGTATATTAAGGTGGTCCTTAAAATGGTCATTTTCGAATTTCCTTGCTCCCATGGGCTCAAATGGTTCCAAATAGATAAAAAACAATTCTCTGAAAGTTTTAGCTCTTAATATTAACGTTTAGATAGAGCGCAATTCAATCAAAGTTTTGTATGGAAATAGCATGGAAAAATTTTCAAAAATTTTAAAAACGTTTTTTAGATGTAATTTAGCGAACAAACGAATGAATAAAACTCATTCATTTGTCGTTAAGTTACACCTAAAACATTTTTTAAAAATTTTCCAAATTTTTTCCATGCTCTTTCATTAAACGTTAATATTAAGAGCTAAAACATTCAGAGAATTGTTTTTTATCAATTTGGAACCATTTGAACCCCTGGGAGCAAGGAAATTCAAAAATGACCATATTAAGGACCACCCTTGTGTGTGTATATATATATATATATATATATATATATATATGAGGGCGATACATCCCAAAGATATCTTTGGCTTTCTTGTTTGATGTATTCAAGAATATATATATTTCAACATCAAAATAATATAATCATATATATATATATATATATATATATATATATATAGATGTGTTTGTATTTTGACTATTCCGGAATTATCTGTTTGAATTATCAAATAATCACTAATTAAGCTAATGTAATAAAAAAAATTTTTAAACGAGTATCAATATTTGAATTTATTTAGACCAAAAAATAAATCAAACCATTGCTAATTGCTATCGTTAGCGGTAAAAATGAAATGAAAAAATTGAGCGAAACAACATTCCAAAATATAATACAGTATAATTTAACGTAGAACGTAACGTCTTACAGCGAACTGTTAAATTTATATTACTATAAAAATATATATTTTCTTAGAAAGTTATATTTTAGGAACGGCAACAATGTTATGTCACAATTATTTAAAACCCGATTCAATACAAACTAAACCTGAGATAAAATTCGGCTCTGTAGTAAATGCTTACAATACTTTCAAGAAGTCCAGGTTTGTACAATGAAAACATGAGATATGCTGCTCTGAATACAGCAAAGCGATTAAAAGTAGATGAAAAACATCAATACATGTATTTTTATTTTCTAAAAGTCTCGGTCTAAGCTTTATATAAATGAAGAATATAATATGAAGATTTGCATATTCTAGTTGATCAATATTATTTAAATAATGTAAATTTAATTAAACAAAATATTATTATTATTATTTCTAACTTGTTAGAGTTAAATCAAAGTCAAAAGCTATAATCTGTAAGGTTTGTGTTATTTTATTTATTGACCTCCTTATAATGAAACATTCAGCCAGAGCTATAAAGCTTAATAACTACTATAAAATAGTAAAAGCAATATTAAACTTTTTTTTACATAACCAGTTTGAACAGAAAAAAAAAAACAAAAAATGGAGATATGTGTGAAACATATTTATACATAAAACAGTGATCAGTGCAAACTTCCCCCGAATATGTCCTTCTAAACCTTGTAATCAAATACATTTTGCAATTTATAAAAAATAATGGAATATCATTAGAAGAGTAATTTAAAACAATCAATGTTTGAGAGGTAAGTAAAATCGACGAAATTTAAATAGTCAACAGTAAACAATAAATATGGGTTATTTACCATTAAAAATAAAATAAATGTCAGTACGATTTTTTTCAATTCAAATAGATAGTATTGTACAATATCAAAATAAAATGAAGTTTAAGAATTAAGAAAAATAAAGAAATACTATAAGGAAATTGAAGACAAAGAAGACTGAAGAGTTATATATAAAGATAGAGATATTTTAATTATAATAGATATTATATTAATGAAATAGATATTATAGTGAAATGAAATGTATATATAAAATATGAAAACTGTTTTTCATAATCTCTCATACGAGGCACCTCTGATTTTATAAATATATAGATATT